GCTGAAATGGCTGTATCCGCTGCTTGCTGTGACGATCTACTGGTGGTTAGTGTGGCACCCCATCAAGTGTATGGGCCTCGCGATAACTTATTTTTGCCAAACATGCTTGAGGCAGCCGGAACGGGCAAGCTGCGCATTTTTGGCCAAGGAAAAAATCGCATCTGCTTCACACATGTGGACAACTACGCGCATGCCCTTATAATTGCGGAGCGACAGCTCTTCAAGGGCTCACCCGTGCTGGGCAAGTTCTACATTGTGACGGACGGCAGAACGCACCCCGAACCGGATGCGTATTGCATTTTTTGGAAGGAGCTGAACAAAGCTGTGGTGGCCATGGGGTTTTCTTCTATTGAGGAGAAGATGCACTATAGCTTCTGGTTCCTGTACATTGTGGCAATTTTCGCCGAGGCACTGGGATGGTTGTTGGGCCGTGTCTTCAAACTGAACGTATTTAATGTGTTTGTCTTGACAATGCATCGATGGTTTCGTATAACCGCAGCAGAGAAGGATTTGGAGTACCAGCCGATTATTCCGTTTGTTGAGGGCTGGGCCGACACCATTCTCTGGTTCAAGGAGCATTGGCTTCCCACCTTTGAACAAAAAGACCGCTCATGGTTTGGGCTCGCAAGGCGCTCACAGCAGAAGATTGACATCCAGGCAAGGAAGACAAGGTGAGTGGGGTTGGGGTGCATGGTGGACGCCGCGCCTTTTTCTATTTTCGTCTCTTTCCTTGTCTTTGTTTTTTTTTCTTCAGGGCCTGTGAGAAGGAATGCTAGCGAGAGGGCTGGTTGCCCAACTTAATATAAGTTTTGGTAAACCGTGGGAAGTAATTCCGTGTGATCCTTTTCCTATCTTATGGTCCTTTGAAAGGCCCCGACGGAAGGAGTCAAGGAACCGATAACGGCACGACGGATTTTATTTTTACTTTTGCCATCCACCCTCTTTGATTCCGACCTTGCGGCGGAGTCTTGTGGCTGGAGGGCCCAAAGTGTTCCAACTCGTAAGTAATAAATATCTCCAATCCGAACACACCGCACCGTGGCACGAGGATGGCTATCCGAACATATAGATGTAGTTGGGACAAACGTTGAGGATGTGGCGGGGCCGCTGCCTCTCCATGGCCCTCTTCTTTCCGTCCTGTTTTATTTATACGTATCAGTTCGGGATCCGGTCCGCAGCCCAGGCGAACATTTTTCCGTGCTTCGGCTTTATTTGGAGGCTGTGTCGGTTTTTTGTTGTTGTCTGTGTGTGCGCTGCGGTAATTTGTGGTGCTGCCCCTCCTTCTCTCTTGTGGCTGCAGCGTCTCTTTTCCCTCTGTTCCTCTTTCCTTCTGCTTCTCCTCCCGCAGACAAGGCCTGTGCTACCACCACTAATACCACTGCTGCCGCCCGCACCTCAGGAACAGACACGTTGTACCGAAGCCATGCGCCAGCCACGCCACACCGCGTTGCTGCCACTACTGCTGCCGTGGCTCATGATGGTGGTGTGTTGCACCGGTGTTTGCGTTGCCGCGGATCGTGCCGTGAAGCACCGCTGTGGGTTTGACGCGATGATGAAGAAATACGGCCGGCTGCCGACTGCGGTGGTGCGTGAGGTGCCGCGCCGGGGACAGGGCGCCGTGCAGGCGTACACCGCCGCCAGCGAGGATGGGGAGGACGGCTGGGCTCCGATCCGCATCAAGGTGTCCGCGGAGGACATGTACAATCCGTTGAGGCACTGCACTGCGGCGGGGGATCTGCGCATTGACCACTTTCGCCGCGCAATAACATGCGAGGCGGACGACGTGTTGACGGAGGAGAGGAGGAGCATTATTCTGAGGCAAACTCTCCCCGCCGCAATTCAGCTGCACGCGGAGCGTCTCTCCGTGAGGCCCGTGACGCGCCCCGTCCTCATTCCTCGAACCGGTCTGGGGATGTGCGATAACTTCACCATCCCAGACAAGCACCACACGGTGGGTGTGGCTGGCACCGACTTGATTATCTACGCCAACGGTTTTCCGTCTTCTGATTCAAAGGCATGGGCGATACCATGCTTCCTGCTGGATGATGGTCGTCCATTTGCTGCTGCCGTGAACTTTGACCCGAAGCAAATAGCGGTGACAAATGGAGACGTGCGTGTAGCGGCCCACGAGTTGGGGCATGCCCTTGGGTTTGTACGGGAGATGTTTTTGATGTTAAATATGATTTCCGAGGTCCCGAACGTGCGCGGGATGTCCAAGGTGTCGGTGATTTCAACGCCGAAGACGAAGGCGATGGCGCGTCAGTACCACAACTGCCCCACGCTTGAGGGCATTGAGCTGGAGGACGAGGGTGGTTCTGACACTTTACTGTCGCATTGGAAATCAAACAGCGTGAGGGACGAGATGATGACTAGTATTGTGGAGGTTGGGCTGTACTCGGCACTGACGCTTGCAGCGTTTGAGGACATGGGTGTTTATGTGGCAAACTACAGTGCGGCGGAGTTGTTGTGGTGGGGCAACAACTCTGGCTGTGGGCTGCTGGAAAAGAAGTGCTTGACCGACGGCATCACCGAATACCCTGATCTGTTCTGCAACCAGGTTGACGTCTATGATTTCTGCACGTACGACCGTCTGTCCCTGGGGCGCTGTGACCTGAAGAGGCACGAGGAAGCCCTGCCAGAGGAGTATCAGTACTTCGCTGATCCCCGAGTTGGCGGTGATGACCTCTTCATGAGCAGATGTCCGTATGTCAGGGCGTATTCTAATACTGGGTGCACCAACGGCGATCCTTCCGTAATGCCTGGCTGTGTCGTTGGTCCGAACTCGCGGTGCGTGAAGGGGCAGGAGCTTCAATTCGACGACGAATATATTGGCGATGTGTGTGTGGACACTCGATGCGGCGACGGCACACTGAGCGTGCGGTTTCTTGATGACGATGCGTGGCACGAGTGCCAGGAGGGTGAAACCGTTACGCCGCCATCGGGTCCCTGGCGTGGGAGCATTGTGTGCCCCCAATACGCCGATGTGTGCACCGCCTTCCCGAACATCAGTGGCTACCCAATACCGGTCGTTGACCCGCCTCTAGCGGACGACCCGACATCCGCGGAGGATGCGGAGGGAGACGAGGGCGAGGTTCCGAGGAAGCGGCCGCGGCGACTCTGATTCCGGGATTTTGCCGCCAATAAATTTATTGGGCAGCGTGGATGGTGTGGCGGGCGGCACTGCGGACGCACCCCAATCGGGCAGCAGCGTCACGGGGTTGTGCTTTGCGCTCTCCGCTGCAGCTCCGTCTCCGGGCGACGGGGCGCTCTTCCACATCTCCACGTGGCGGGACGGACGTGCACTGCGATGGCGGCCGACGGGCGGGTCATCATATTTATTTGAGGAAACGAGAAAACACGAGCAAAACGAAAAAAAGAAAATGCGCGAGCAGCGTTTGGCGGGGTCATGATGTGCACATGGGCCCGTCG